AAGGATTTGATCATGCAGAAGAAATAAAAAATACAAAAATCTGATTAAGGTAATCGATTCAACTAAATCAAGGAGTATCAAGCAATAAACAAATTAAAGCATGACTGATTCACTTGTCCTCATCATCACTGTCGATGCCATAAGTGTGACATAGAGATTCAAGTCCCTGTACATTCTTCTTCGGGATTATATTAGAACAGGAATTCATATATATTCTTCTGTGTATTTTTAGGAAGTAGAGTTAAGTACTCTAACGGCTAACTCTTTGGAAAGTCTATATAATCATATCAATACAATCTCTCCAATCCATCGATTGGGATTAAACCTAACATGGTATCAAAGCCAAAGATCTAATCAGCCGCCTCTCTCTCGTTTCTTTTTCTTCTCTTCTCCTACTCTCTTACATATTTTTTTTTCCTTTCTTCTCTTCTCTCTGTTCTTTCGTACTCCTCTGTTTCTTATTTATCTCTCCCTCCACGTTTTGTTTCTTCTTCTTCACTTTCGTCTCGTTTCTCGACCATGGCAAACACCACTCCATCGGCTGCAAATCTCACTCAGATCCGTGCTCATATCCCCATCATTCTCGACATAAACAAGATGAACTACGATTCATGGCGTATCCTCTTTGAAACTCATTGTCTCAGTTTCTCTCTCACATGCCATCTTGATGGCCCCTCTCTTCCCACCACTCCAACAGATACAAACTGGCAACAACTTGACAGCACGGTTAAGATGTGGATCTACGGTATAATATCTGAGTCCCTTCTCAACTCGGTTCTAAAAAATCAGTGCTCTGCTCGTGACGTCTGGCTCATGCTCGAGAACTTGTTTCGTGACAACAAAGAGGCTCGTGCAATCCAACTGGAAAACGAACTCCGCAACTTCACGATTGGTGATAAACCAGTCCATGATTATTGTCAAAAACTCAAATCGATCTCGGATATGCTCGCCAATGTCAATTCTCCAATCACAGACCGCACCTTGGTCATGCATCTTCTCAACGGACTTAGTTCCAAGTTTGATAACATAATTAATGTTATCAAACATCGATCACCCCCATGTTCGTTCGGAGAGGCCAGATCCATGCTCATCAATGAAGAAGATAGGCTCAAGACCAAACGACCATCCATTCCCAATAACGATGACAATGCATCATCTCCTCATGTTCTACTAGCGTCCTCACAACAACAATCTGACACTCGCTCTGCACACTCCAATCAACAGTTTCAGAACAATCGTGGTGGTGGTCGAAATTTCAAAGGCAACCGAGGCGGAGGTCGTGGAAACAGAGAACGTGGCAACAGCTCCTACAATGGTGGAAATTGGGGCTCTGGAAATCAGTCATGGATGTGGCCTAATCAGCTTCAGTGGCCTGCTTCACCTCACTGGCCCATGATTCCTCATTGGCCTAACATGTCTCTGTGGTCCAACTCCCCATGGTCTTCGTCGCCTACTCAACAACGCATGTCGTCTCCCTCTCCTGCCCCCGCTATGACGTCTCGTCCATCTCCGGGAATTTTAGGACCAGTCCCTCCACCACACGGCGCTGCAAATTTTACATCGGCTCAACCTCCTAATGCTTCACCATCAACGGACCTGATTCCCACAGCACTCGCCGGTGCTTTTAACTCCATGACACTAGCGGACCCGTCTGATGCAGCTTGGTACATGGACTCTACTGCGACGGCTCATCTTACGTCTCAGCCAGGTACACTTGAAAAACTCTCTTCCTATTCCTCTCATTCTCTTCCTCGTGTTACTGTAGGTAATGGCTTTCTTCTTCCTGTCACTGCTTCTGGTTCTACATCGTTTTCTTCTTCCTCTCGTCCTCTTCATCTCAAAAATGTTCTTTTATGTCCAAAAATTTTAAAAAATCTAATTTCTGTTCGTCAATTCACTATTGATAATTCTTGTTCTGTTGAATTTGACCCTTATGGTTTTCTTGTTAAGGATCTTCGTACTCGGACTCCTCTCATCCGATGTGATAGCTCCGGTCCTCTCTACTCTTTCACATCTTCTTCATCGTCTCCTTGTGCTTTTGCTTCCACCACCGCTGCGTCCACTTGGCACCGTCGTTTAGGCCATCCAGGCCACTCTGTCTTTCGTATTTTATCTTCTTCAGGTTTATTTGATTGTTCAAAAACAGATTTTTCTTCTTTATGTCATGCTTGTCAGCTTGGCAAACACATTCGACAACCATTTAACACTTCTAACTCTTCTGTTTCTTCCCCATTTGAAATAATACATTCTGATATTTGGACTTCTCCTGTTTCCAGTGTTAGTGGCATCAAATATTATGTTATTTTTCTTGACCAATATACACATTTTGTTTGGATTTATCCGCTTCGTCAGAAAAGTGAAGTTTTTGCAAAATTGTTACATTTTTTTAATTTTATTAAAACCCATTTTCAAGTTCCTATCAAAAGTTTTCAATGTGACAATGGTGGCGAATTTACTAACCGTCAAATGCTGGATTTCTTTTCATCCCAAGGTATTCAAGCGCGTTTTTCTTGTCCTTATACGTCTTCTCAAAACGGTCGAGCCGAACGTACTCTTCGCACACTTAACAACTTTATCAGGGTTCTTCTTTTTCAAGCTCAAATGCCAAACATCTACTGGGTTGAAGCATTACACATGGCTGCTCATCTTTTCAATCTTCTTCCTTCCACCGCTATTAACAATCAAATCCCGTTCACTTGCCTTTTTAAGAAACCAGCTTCTTATGATCATCTTAGAGTGTTTGGTTGTTTGTGTTACCCCAATCTTCTTCCCACCACTCTCAACAAGCTCTCTCCTCGTTCTTCTCGATGTGTCTTTCTCGGGTATCCAACACACCATCGTGGTTATAGGTGTTTGGATCTTGCTACTCGTCGGATAATTATTTCTCGTCATGTCGTCTTTGATGAGGCTACGTTTCCGTTTGCTGTCCCTGTCTCATCTCCCAGTGTGCGACATCATTTTCACTCTCCTTCTTCTCCGCTTCTCATCTCTTTGCCCCCTTCTCCTACACCTCCATCTTGTCCCACAACGCTTACGGACTCACCGTCCCCTCCACCAGCATCTCCATCACCACCGGCTTCTACGTCTCCTCCACCGGTGCCTCCTTCCCCACCGCGGTCACCTTCTCCTCCACTAGCGCCTCATTCACCGGAGGCATCGCCGGCTCCTCCGTCTCCGCCGGCTCCACCTTCACCTCCGGCTCCTCCGTCACCGCCAGCACCTCCAGCACCGGTTGTACCTCAAGTTGCTCCAATCCAGCCTGCACCTCAGCGAATGCATACACGGAGCCAAAGTGGTATTTCTAAACCAAAACAAGTTTTTTCTCTTCATACCACTCACATCTCTCCTCTTCCTCGCTCTCATGTACAGGCTGCTAAGGACCCTTGTTGGAATGGAGCAATGAAATCTGAATATGATGCTCAAATTGCTGCGGGTACATGGAATCTTGTACCTCGCCCTAAGGATACTAACATTGTGCGTTCCATGTGGTTGTTTAGTCATAGATTTACAGCAGATGGCACATTGTCTCGATACAAAGCAAGGTTGGTGGCAAATGGCAAATCCCAACAAGTCGGCGTTGATTGTGAAGAGACTTTCAGTCCCGTCATCAAACCAACTACAATTCGCACGGTGCTTGATCTTGCGGTCGCCCGTGATTGGCCACTACACCAGCTAGATGTAAAGAATGCGTTTCTTCATGGCAATCTTGAGGAGACCGTTTACATGCATCAGCCACCTGGTTTTGTTGATCCAGATAAACCGAACCATGTAATTCTCCTAAATAAGTCGCTATACGGCCTCAAACAATCACCACGGGCATGGTATCATCGGTTTGCTCAATTTGCTACTAAAATCGGTTTTAAAAACAGCAAGACCGATGCCTCTCTGTTTGTTTATCGTCGGGGCAATGATCTTGCATATCTTTTACTATACGTGGATGACATAGTTCTGACCGCGTCTTCCGATGCGGTCCTAAGGTTGATTCTATCCTCTCTTAAATCTGAATTTTTAATGACTGATCTTGGTCTACTTCACTATTTTCTTGGTATTGTTGTTCGCAGGGACACCAATGGACTCTTTCTCAGCCAACATAATTATGCTGCTGATATTCTACATCGTGCGAATATGTCCAACTCTAAACCAGCTACAACTCCAGTCAATACATCCGCCAAACTCCACGCAATTGTCGGACCTCCTGTTGCCGATCCCTCACTATACTGTAGTCTCGCCGGTGCCCTGCAATATCTCACTTTTTCGAGACCCGACATCGCATATGCAGTCCAACAAGTTTGCCTCTATATGCATGATCCTCGTGAGCCTCATTTTACAACAATGAAGCGTATTCTTTGTTATCTCAAAGGCACCATTACTGAAGGCTTACACATCACCCGCTCGAAGACGACGACTCTCACTGCTTACACCGATGCTGATTGGGCAGGCTGCCCTAATACCCGCCGCTCAACTTCTGGTTATGCTGTTTTCCTTGGCGAAAATCTTATTTCCTGGTCCTCAAAACGTCAACCGACTGTCTCACGTTCAAGTGCAGAAGCCGAGTACCGCGGTGTGGCCAATGTTGTTGCCGAGACCATCTGGATACGCAACCACCGCCACACTTGTTTATTGTGACAATATAAGTGCAGTCTACCTTTCCACGAACCCTATTCAGCACCAACGCACAAAGCATGTGGAAATAGATATCTTGTTTGTCCGTGAGAGGGTTGCATTGGGACAGGTTCGAGTTCTCCACGTACCATCCTCTCATCAATATGCTGATATCTTCACCAAGGGCCTTCCTACTTCATTGTTCAATGATTTCAAGTCCAGTCTTAACGTTCATCCCTATCACGTTTCGACTGCGGGAGGGTATTAGAATAGGAATTCATATATATTCTTCTGTGTATTTTTAGGAAGTAGAGTTAAGTACTCTAACGGCTAACTCTTTGTAAAGTCTATATAATCATATCAATACAATCTCTCCAATCCATCGATTGGGATTAAACCTAACAGCGAACACAAGAGATTTGTCTTGTTCGAGATTTACCAAAATCTCGTCTCTTATTACTCTTCTTCTTCTTCTTCTCATCAAACACCTCATAGTTTTTGTCTTCCTCTTCATCATCAACCCTAGTGATCCGCTTACCAAATTTTATAGACTTGATGAGCAACTCTTCCTCCACGTTCTCTTCTTCTTGTTTTCTTCTTCTACTCAAAGCCTCAAGCATTGATTCTACACTCACCGAGGCTCGTCTAGACTTCATAGACTTAAGCTCATCAAGCGTAGTTTTAACTTCCATCTCTCTTTTAGATACGACACTTCTCCTCTCTAAACACTCCAATGCGTTTTCTTCAGTTTCCTTCTCCTCTTCAACCTCGTGTCCATTATAAAGACTAGTTGCACCTGATTCGACAGTATAACCATGGTTCTTTGGATCGGTCTTAATTGTCACCTCTGCCAAGCAGTTTATGCACTTGATGTAAAACCTAAATATTTCAATGCCTACGTGCGTCTCGTTGATGACGTCTTCCTCACGGCAATTGAATTTGGTGCCTTGTGACATGTAATTACCACATGTATTACATCGAACACGAACTGGTAGCATAAACCTAATCTTTTTCTGCTGGTTCTTTGGTTTCTGGAGTCGAGGTATCTTGCTCGGATCAAAGTCTGGCGAGTAGTACTTGTTTAGGTTTTTGCGTTCTCCCATAAGTACTTCAGAGACAAGAAACACACACACGAAGAAGAAGAGTCCAACTTCTTTCTCTTGATATATCTCTCTTGCTCTTTCTCTACTTCTCTCTTTGTATTTTCTTGTTTAGATGATCCTTAAAGGTTAGGGCCTTAGGGGACGACGTCCTCCTTATATAGCCACAGCTTCTATATATGTTTTACTTTTCTGAGATATATTCTATTTCCTTATTCTTTGATAAGTCTATCTCTTTGTTCGGAATCGTTACATATTTTCCTTTTTCTCGAAGGTTATTTTTTTTAATGTTTTAAGATTGTATAACTCTTTTTATTGTCAATTTTGATAGACATTTTTATAGCCAAGTTTTCTTTTAATTTAAATTGTATTTATTTTAGTATATTTTTTTAAAATTTAAATTGTATTTATTTTAGTATTTAAGATTAATTTACAATTGTATTTTAATCGTTAATTCTATAATTTAATCCGTGGAGTACCGCGAGCCAATTTTTTTTTTTAATAATTGTAATTTAATCAATTTATTTAAATAAGTATAATAAATATGCATACATGTCAATGAGGAATAAAAATGTTATCTTATTTTACAACGTTAATTTGGATTTGTTTTTTGACATATCGTTAACTTGGATTGTGAATTCTCTATATTAGTTTACGGTATTTATGTTTGCAATATTTTAGGGATTTAGTTATGTATTCTTTTTTTTTTGTCGACTATGTATCTATATTAACATTTTTGAAGTAGCTTTTGTGTTCTACCCTTTCATTTTATGATATTTTCATAATTAATCTCTTGCCGTTTAATTAAATAGAAAGAGTTTAAGATGAATTTTGTAATTAAATCATAATAAAATTGCAAAATTAGAAATGAATATTTATTACATTTAACAAAATTTCCTAAAATCTCTCCCTAAGAAATCAAATATTTCTCCAACATCTTTCTATGATCTTATTTGTTTTTAAACTTATATTATTATATAAACATCTATATTAACATTTTTGAAGTACATTTTGTGTTCTACCCTTTCATTTTATGATATTTTCATAATTAATCTCTTGCCGTTTAATTAAATAGAAAAAGTTTAAGATGAATTTTGTAATTAAATCATAATAAAATTGCAAAATTAGAAATCAATATTTATTACATTTAACAAAATTTCCTAAAATCTCTCCCTAAGAAATCAAATATTTCTCCAACATCTTTCTATGATCTTATTTGTTTTTAAACTTATATTATTATATAAACATATGTATAATAAAAATATAATTTTTTTTTGCATATGTTGCAATTTGAATTTTTTGAAACGGATGTATATTACTCAAACGATACAAAAATAAATGTACTAAAGTATTAATAATAATTGTGTAGCACGGGTCATGTGATGGAACGGGTTATAATTTACATAATTATGATTATAGATATTTTTACGGGTTGCTACTATAGTATAATTCAAAAAATATTTTAATATGAAATTATACTATGTAAACAAATATTATGTCAATATCATTTCATTATTTTAAATATTATACTTATTTAATTAATTTGATCAAATTACGATTATATAAAAATAAATTATCATATAATACTTTACGGGTTAAATCATAGAATTAACAATCAAAATATAGTTGTACACTCTTATATACCAAACAAAATTAATAAAAATAATACATGTTAGGAATGTCGTACAGCGGTGTCCCGCAGGTTAAAATCTAGTTCTATTTATAATTCGAAAAACATTGTTGTAGCAAAACCAATGTTATTTTTGTAGCCATGCATTTTCAATTAGATATTATATTTTCAGTGGTTACAAAATACTATTATTTTCATTATTATTTTATAAATCACGATTTAAAGATTTTTATTAACAAAATATTACATAATTAAATTTATTTTTAATTAGTTACTAATTGCATCTTAAATTGGATATTACATTTACTGATTCGTGATTTTGAGTAAAGAAATCATGATAATTATTATTCATATCAGATTCATTAGTTGTAAAGTTGCATCTACAATGAATATATTGGTTACCATTTTCTTTCTTAAAATATGAATAATTTTAATTTATTTCAAGTTTTAAATAAATAAATTCAATAAGAAATTTTTAAAAAATACTAACAACATTACAGTTGATTAGACTCAACAATATACATTATTTACAAAAACAAAAAGTTAAAATATTTGATGATACTATAACATTTTTGGAGAATGTGTAAGACATATCACATCGGTTAAATATTTTGAACAATGGTTTTAAATCATTATAAACATGACGAATGCTTCCTACAATGAATGAGTATGAAATTTAAGTTATCGGGCTTTCAATTTTAAAATTTTTGTTTGGATTAGTAAAGTCATTTATTTGAGCATTTAAAATTTTTAAATGTTTTAAAATTTTAAAATATTTTGATATTGAAACCTTTAAAATATTCAAATATAATAAAAATATATAGGACTATTTAAAATATGAGAAACATGTAAGAATATTTTTGCAACGGGTCAGAACATGATACACACCACTTAAGTTTTACAATTAAATACTTTGTTATACCAAAAATAAATAATATGCGAAATTGTTCAATTTTACGGGTCTTAATGAACATAATTAAATCAAATTTTAACAATGGTACATACAAAGTCCTATCAACAAAATATACTATTCAAATATTGATGAAATCGAATTTATAATACGAATAAGTTTTACTGATAAACTATATTATGTATCAAACTATATAAATCACAGTAACTCACGTTTTATTTTGTTAAACTCAGAATTATATAGTAGCAAGTAATCAATAATATTTTTACGAATGCAATCTGTTAAAGATTGGTCATTCAACACATATATTTGTTATAGACATGTATGATTTACCATAATCAACTCCATATATTTAACACAGCTTCATGACTAACCATACTCGCTACTGTTTTTGGATAATATTCAATACAAACTCATTAGAAAAATAGTTACTAAAACAGCAAATTCATGATATAAAAATGATATAATTGTGTGAAGTGACCTTAGTCTAGTGGCAAATAATAAGTCCGGGGTGGAAATGGAGATGTGGGAACGTGTTTGGGTCAAACCAGAAGTGTCGGGACCGGGTTAAAGTTTTGAAGGATTTAGCTATGGAGGTGACTTGTGCAAATAAAAGGATCTCGGCTCAAATATGTTCCCGGGGAGAGAGAGTGGAGCAGCTGGTTTCTTAGAAAAAGCCGGCTAGTGGTTGGTTACGGCTAAATACGGATGGAGCTTCTAGGGGAAATCCGGGTTTGGCATCAGCGGGAGGGGTACTACGGAATGAGGAAGGACAATGGTGTGGGGGGTTTGTTCTAAACATTGGGATTTGTTCAGCTCCTTTGCGGAACTCTGGGGTGTGTACTATGGGTTGTATATTGCTTGGGAGCACCGTGTGAGGAGGTTGGAAATTGAGGTGGATTCGGAGATAGTTGTGGGATTTCTTAAGACAGGGATTAGTGAGGCTCATCCGCTGTCGTTCCTGATACGTTTGTGCCATGACTTCATTTCAAGGGACTGTATAGTCCGTGTGTCGCATGTGTATAGGGAAGCTAATCGTCTCGTAGATGGATTAGCGAACTATGCTTTCTCTTTACCATTGGGTTTTCATCCGCTTGCGTTGGTGCCGGATCTAGTTAATGACATTTTTTTGGAGGACGTTCGGGGAGTCATGTTTCCTCGACAAGTCTGGTTGTAATGGTTTTAAGTTTGTTTTAATAAATTTCGAGAGAGGCCTCCCTCCTCCTACCAAAAAAAAATAATAATAATAAGTTCACTGATGGACAGGCACCATCACACCAGGTATCGAGTCCCGCTCCCTACATATTTGTAGGGATTTGGCTAATGGGCCGGCCAATTGTGGTCCAATGCTAACAAAAAAAATTGATATAGTTGTAAAGAAAACAAATCTTAAAATACATTTGTATCACTTAGTAAATTAAAACATATTAATAATAGCCGGATAACTTTCCTCCGCGTTATAGCATGGGTCCGATTCTAGTAAAGTGTAGTAAAAATGATTAATCATATTTTGTACAAGGGAAGGATTCTCAAACATGATTTCATTGCTTGGGTGGCCACAAGACAAAGACTACTCAAATGAATCTTCTCAGCATATTTTCTTTGATTGTGCTTTCTCTAGTAAGATCTTGTCTTACTTTACATCTCAAGCTCATGTTTCTCCTCCACCTTATTTGAAAATGGGCTTAGATGGATGAAACAATTATTTTGATTTGGAGGGAAAGGAATTGCAGGCTTGACTCTCAATTATCTTGATCTCCAACTACGCTAGTTGTGTTGTCACATAAACAATCATCTTTATGTCACATTAGCGTAGTTGGACATAAAGAACACTATTAGATGTAGGTTGGATCCTTTTAGGGAGCACAAAGAAATCTATCTTAATCAGACTCCTACTTATCAATTTGGTTTGAAGTCTTTCATTTTCAAGTTAGTTAAGTTAGAGGGTAAGTTGTTTTTTTTCCTCATCTAGCGGTTTCTTGTAGACCTGAGCATGAAGCGGATAACCAAAAAATATGTGGTGCTTTTGATCGCTTCGTCTCGACCGAATATATGATCTTATGATTTGCTTCAATTATAAAATTTTGGATATAAAATTTGTCGTGATATTTGCGAATTATTTGCTTCGAGCCATCTCAAAAACAAATTTCTATAGAAAAAATTAAAAATATATAGTACATGAAGTAACAATATATGAGATATTAAAAGTTTCTTTTGGCCATGCTTGCAAAATAAGTTCAAATAAAAAATGAAATGTAACAAAGTGTTTTTTAGGATACAAAGATATTAACCAACTAGGATTTAACCCGTGGCACACTCCGGGACAGTATTTGTATTTTAAAATTTTCATATCAATAGCGGTTATACTACGATAGTTTTGCTACTTTATTATACAATTTTTTTTTATCGTAATGATATTGAGTTTGATTGATTTAAACAAAGTAGTTGCGGTTACACATGCAT